TACTTATTGTTTTGTTATCTTCAGGGCATCCTTGTAGAGACAAAACATGTATCTGCAATTGAAAAGTGAGACATGAAGGAATAAAATAGTTTTTCCACTTCCATTCGTCAACAGAAGAGTTAAGACCTTTTTAATGTACAATACTTGTAATTTTAGGACTAAGGAAGGACTGAAGAAATGCATGGAAATCCTGACAAGGCTCGGAGTGGAGCCCTCAGAAGAAGACTGTCTGGCTGTGCAGCACGTGTGCACCATCGTATCCTTCCGCTCAGCTAATCTAATATCTGCAAGTCTGGGAGCCATTCTTTGTCGCCTAAAAGAGAATAAAGGAGTTGTGCGGCTTCGTACCACCGTCGGCATTGATGGCTCTCTGTACAAGATGCACCCTCAGTGAGTAGGCCATAAAATGGGGACTAAAAGGCGCTTTCCAGAGACGCACGTTTAGTTTGGATATTATGTATTCCAAAAAGACCTATGCAGCATATAAAGGATGTGTGCGCCAGATAATTCTTTGAGTGGCTTCAGATTAAGTCCTAAATGAAAAACTCAAGGTTTTGGTCTGTGTGGAAGTTCAGATCTGCTGCATTGTGAATTTCTAAAATCCTAAGTCACAGTTATCCTGTAATTGTGTGGTGTTTTATATATTTCTGCAGTCTGAATACATAATTCTGATGAAAAATAGATTCTGACACATTCTAATACTCACTTGAAGACTCTGTTTTTCCTCACGAGGAATTCTTTTGCTCTCTGAACAGATATGCCCGTCGTCTGCACAAAACCGTGCGTCGCTTAGTCCCAGACTCGGATGTCCGTTTCCTGCTGTCCGAAAGCGGGAGTGGGAAAGGAGCAGCCATGGTGACAGCAGTGGCATACCGTTTAACCGAGCAGGCGCGCCACATTCAGCAGACTTTGGCAGAATTCCGGTTGAGCAAAAATCAGCTGTTAGAGGTCAAGAAAAGGATGAAGGTGGAGATCGAAAGAGGCCTGAAGAAGGACAGCCACAAGGACGCTACGGTCAAAATGTTGCCCACCTTTGTTCGAAGCACACCGGACGGAACAGGTAATTAAAATGAGACATACATAGCATGCATTGTTTTTTTGTCAGGTCAGGTCCAAGTCAATCTCAACTATCATTCACGCCTGTCTATGTAATGGTAAATGGCCTGTATTTGTATAGCGAATAATAGTTTAAAAACATGCTAAGTCACAAGTCA